ATTGATGGGAAAATGAATTCCAGAGTTTATCAAGACATTTTGCAGGAAAACGTACGACCATCTGTCCGCCAACTGAAGCTCCGCAGAGGATGGGTGATGCAACAGGACAATGACCCAAAGCATACAAGTAATTCAACAAAACAATGGCTTCAACAGCACAGAATACGCCTTCTGGAGTGGCCCAGTCAGAGTCCTGACCAAAACCCGATTGAAATGTTGTGGCATGACCTTAAGAGCGATTCACACCAGACATCCCAAGAATATTGCTACACTGAAACAGTTTTGTGAAGAGGAGTGGCCCAAAATTACTCCAGATCGTTGTGCAGGTCTGATCTGCCATAGGAGGGTCAACCAGTTATTAAGTCCAATGGTTCACATACTTTTTCCTCCCTGCACTGTGAATGTTTACATGTTATGTTCAATTAAACCATGGCAACATGTAATGTTTGTGTATTATTATTTTCAGCAGACTGTGTTTTTCTATTGTTGTGACTTAGATGACGTTCAGAGCACATTTTATGGCCAATTCATGCAAAACTCCACGTTATCCCAAGGGGTTCACATACTTTTTCTTGCAACTGTATTTCAGCAGTGCAACCAAAAATATGTTCATATAATTGTATTAGAATACTTACTAGCATTTTGGCTTTCATAAGTTGCTTAGGAAATTTTATAAAATATTTCTATTTATTAGATAATTCCTTAACATGCTTTTATTGTATAAATCCACATTTTTAACTGCTATAGCCTTTGGATGATTTAGTCAATTACTCCTGATAGCATAGAATTGGCGCTAACTGACATGCTTTGATATTTAATTAATACTTCTTTTTATTTGTTATCCATGGTTCATGTTCATATACAAAGTAGCTCAAGAAGATATAATGTACTTATTGTGTTTTGCCCTATTTCCTCAGGCCTACAATTTTGTGATTAATAAAGAGTCTACAAGTAACGTTGTTACAGATTTCTTTTAGTTTATTGGTATCATTTGCTGTTAAATGCTAATTACTTGCTCAAAGAGATAATGTGAAAGTAAACTACATTTTTACTGATGCCAAAAATTAGAATATTTCAGAGGAAAAGAAAGGTGCATAAGCCTTCAGATATTTCTCTTTATTTCCCAAAACAACCACAGAAGAATAGTAGCTCTCAAACAGATTTAATTCATGCTCTGCATCCTTGAACCTGTTAATTTTTAAGTCATGCTAAGTGCCTCATTGAGGTATTTTTTTTGGGGGGGGGAGGTAGTTTACATCTTGTGGAAAGGGTATAGCCAGGGAGAGAAAGGTTAGTAATTTATCATATCTGTGAGGTCAAAATTCACTCAAAGACATTCATCTCATTTGTTTGTTTATTTATTTATTTAAAATTGTTCAAACTCACCCTTCTTTTGAATAGATTTGCTAATAGTAGAATAAGATGTTAATAAAAGTTATTACATCAATATGGATATAATGCAGTACAACTTCAGCAACAATCGTAATAAAACAAAAAAGGCAGACATATACCTACAGATGCACAAAAAACAGAATGGTAGACATTGTTAATGCAAATTGCTAGGAGATATTGAACTAATTTGTTTTAAACAGAGAATATGTAAATATGCTAAAATACATCAAGCACAACCAAAAAAATATTTAGGCACTTTGTAGACATATTCACTATTTTTTATAGTGAGGAAAGGTGCATTCTATTTGTCGGTGCCCTCCCCTGAGTATAATGATATTCTTGGAAATGTTTGCAGGTCTTTTAGTACCACTGAAGTATGAGGATAAAAGGCTTGACCTGTGAGAGACATTACCTATATCTTGGCATGTAGAAATCTGTTATTAGGTCCAGCTCTTTGCCAGTAATTCAGATTTGCTGTATTCACATCTGTCCTGGGTATAGAACAGATATAATGGGAGAGCATGAAATGGGAAGATTTGGGTTGAAAAATCCTTCCATTTTTGCTCAGAATGAGAATGTCATCAGGTCATTAGTATTCTGTTTCCCTCTTGTAGCCCATGTACCATGGCTTGTAAATTTGTCCTAAAAAGTTGCCTATTGAGGTTAACGTTTTTGTGTTTTTACATAGACACATTTGTATGCAAACCACACGTGAACATGACCATACATATCACACCTCCCCAAATATCTGTGGCAGCACCACACAAAGTGTTGGTATAGTTATATATGCAGAGCTGTTATGGCATGGGACTCATTTTCATTTTCTACTTGTATATTTCAGAATATCCGCAATCATAATTTGACATTTTAAAGGATAATTTATCTTCTTATATAGGACCGAGGTGATGAATTTACTTACACTGGGAGTGGTGGAAGAGATCTTTCTGGCAATAAAAGAATTGGGGAACATTCATTTGATCAAACTCTAACCCACATGAACAGGTGCCTTTTAAAAATATTTTCCTATTTAATTTTTTAAGGAGCAAGCATTCATTTTTAAGGAGAAACCGTCCACTTCCAAACAGGTAGTCATCTTAAATCTGTTGTCCCTTATAGGCTGTTAAGGCATCTTAGAGGTCCCCTGGATGCTAGGCAAAGGTGGACTGCAGCTTTTCATACAGAGGAAAAACAATATTTCTGCTTATCACTATGTTGTTGGTGAGAGAATAAAGCAGAACGGATTACAGAGGGTATGGAAAGCTTTAATATTTAGTTTTAATGGCTGAATAAAGTTAGGAGCCCTTCCAATTGTGGAACGCCTGCATCTGCTTTGAGTGTCTGAATGCAGCACTCTACATTTTTGTGGAGGAAGGAAAGGAGGATCTGATCGTTCAGGCTTGAGATGGGCATACTGTTTCTATAGGAACAAACTGTAGTTGACTCAGTGGTGATTTTAGGCTCACCTGCCTGCTGTATGCTCTGATGACTGGAGTATCAAATTGCAGTAGTTTGGCATGTAATGATTATCCCGACTGATGCTCTGATACTTTAAGAAATATTCTGTTATGTTGAAAAACTTAAAAAAAAATATTTTTTAGGGCCCTGGCTCTAAATTGTGATGCTCCATTGGATGACAAAAATGGAGCTGAGTCTAAAAATTGGAGAGCTGGAAAACCAGTTAGAGTTGTTCGCAGTTCAAAAGGTCGAAGGATCAGCAAATATGCTCCAGAGGAAGGCAATAGATATGATGGCATATACAAGGCAAGTATTGTTCTTCTATATTTGTCTTGGAAAATATTATTAACGAAGTACTTTTTTTTTTTTTTAACTGCAAAACATATTGGTCTATACCCCCTCTGAAAATTCTTTCCAAAGCAGAAAAGGTGCATGTGTATAATTTTTTTGTGATTTTTGGATGTTGCTAATGACACATTTCAAGCATTCAGTGACCTTCTGATCTGGCATAGAGACTTTAAAGAAAGCCCTTTGTGCACACAGCTTTCTACTTCATGCAATTTTGGATACAACACTCTAGAAAATATGCTCAGTTAAAATCAGTATTTAATTTATTGTACTATTGTATTGGTTATCTATTATTTCAGCTTTTGCATAATGTATCTGAGGTGATGGAGGGAGAGAAAGAATTGATAATAAGTTTAATATATATTCAGTAATTCTCAATAATAATGTGCATTTTTTTAAAAAAAAAACTGGATTTTTGTTTATAGCATAAGAAATGGACTTTTCAACTGTTGGCATCTCATTGATGATTTATGTTAAAAAGCCCTCTAAACTTCTTCAGCTAACTTTCTCTATTATTTCTCTTAATTTGCAATAAATAAATAAATAAATAAATCTGCCACTACCAGTAAAAATGCCTTTTGATTCTTAGAAAATGTGGGATATATACTTTTTAGAGAAACAGTCTGGTTATCAAAGGTTACTTATTGTGGAAGTCAATATTAAGTTCTTTCTTTACAATACCCATTGCTTAGGATGTCCACTACAACACAATGCAGATGATCAGAAGCAAGATAGATAAATTGAGATCAATACCTCAACTTGTCTTTGTATGTAAGTTGCTTTTCAGATAGCATAAGTTTCTTTCCTAGAACTAATGTATATGTAGAGAGATGTGCTTGGATGAAAAAGATCCAAAATCCACTTCAAGTTGAGATTTAGATCTGGTTTTAACATGACAACTGCCTAGCATTTCCTATGATCTTTGCCAGGAAGGAGATTAGGAAAGTATGTCCCAGTTACGTTTCTGGGATCTTTAACCTACAGCTGTTCATTATGTCTTTCTAGAGACATATTTATTCTGGAGAGCTTTCCTGAGTAAATTGTGGACATTGGTTCCAGGCAAATACTTTATTACTCTTTATTATGTTTTAATTTTAACTTTTGGTTTAAATACAGGACTAAAACTGGCTTGGTGGATTACCTATGCTGGAAAATGTATAGGATGTGTGACCCTGCTAATTTCTCTAGGCTATCTGTTTTACGGTAGTTTCAGATCTTTTGCTGAGGCACTTCTGTTTCACACTAACATATCTATGGCATCCCATGAGACCCCGTCTTGTTCCTCATGCTTTTCAATATCTATTTGAAACAGCTGGAACTTGGGAATGGGATGCTATCAATATGCTAATAACACCAGTTCTACTACTGTTTGCCCTGAAGGAAATAGCTGGTTCTCTTGACAAATGCTGAAGTTTGATAATGGACTAAATGCAGACAAACAAACAAATGAAATCCAGGCTTGTTGGTTGACTTTTGGGTACTTGGATGTTGAAATTTAGCCTGTTGTGGATATACCATGTTTCCCTGAAAATAAGCCCTATCCTGAAAATAAGCCCTAGCTTGATTTTTACGTGTGCGCCTAATATAAGCCCTATCCCCAAAATAAGCCTTAGTTAAGACCCCGCCCACTCCGTCCCACCATCTGGTTGTACGAGGTATGGCGAGGCGCATGGGTAAAAATCAAGCTAAGGTGGGGGGTGGAACTGCCCCATGTGCCCCGCACCTGCTTACCTCAGGCCCCCGCAGCCAGGCCTCCCACGCCCTGGCACCTGCCTTGTGGTGGAGGCAGCAGCAGCCTCGTCCAGCAGGAGTCTGCGTAGCCGCTGATCCACTTCTGGTTGCTGGTGGCCGCTCACGGCAGGAGGCCACATGGCACATCACACCAGTACCACCGCTCATGGCAGGACCCCACATCACCTGCCATGAACGGTGGCACTGGCGCAATGCACCACATGGTGTCCTTCTGCAAGTGGTGGCACTGGCACGATGCTCCATGTGGCATCCTGCCACGAGCAGCCAGAGAAGAAGTCAGGCAGTGACGTGACAGGTGTCGGGGTGTGGGAGGCCTTGCTGCGGCAGTCTTGAGGTAAGTGGGCAACACATTTTGGAGGCAAAAAAAAATAATACAAGACCGTTTCTTATTTTTGGAGAATCACGGTATTGCATCCCTCTCTTCTCCACAAAAATAGAAGATCTCATTGATCAAGATTGCAGCTGTGATAAAGAGCTCATTGCACTGCACTGGCAGAATATCTGGATGATTGCAAATCATTGTTAGCCATTTTTGGGTCATTATGATTTATCCTTAAAAAGCACCTGGAAGTTTTAGTTGGCACAAAATGTGGCATTTGGGCTGCTAACTAATAATAAGATATGGGAATAATATGGTGCTGTTATTAAATATTAGAGTGGGTGGGCTCATATATAAATTTAATAATTAATAAAACTATAATACACAGCTTAGGACCTGACTTCCTTGCCTTTTCTTTAACAAGCCTGTGCAGACATTATGGTCTGCAGAAGAAGCCTTTTTGTGTGTGCCCCCAGACTCAGAAGTTCTTCTGTACCACATTCATATTTTGGAATGCACTCTTTTCTGGCCTCTTACTCTCTATGCCTTAGAAGAACATTCATGATGCAGTTCCAGATTTTTAATACTTGATTATTTCATACTTTAATTTTCTATTTTGCATCCTGCATTTTAATTTTGTTAGCCACCTTGAATGCACAGCTAAGCAAAGAGAAAAATCGCAGATCAGTAAATTCATTCATGCTATAGTGTGTTATTTTAAATAAACTTATTTGTTTTGTCTTTCCTGTGACTTATCATTTTACATGTGCTGGATCTTTTAAAAAAAACTTTTGTACAGTCAACATTTATTTGATCTTCTTAGATTAAACACTTTAGATACAAATGTTTGAATGATTTCTTAAAGCAGCTAGTCTATAGAAGATGCATATAAAAACAACTTTATAATTCAGGTGGTGAAATATTGGCCAGAAATTGGAAAATGTGGATTTTTAGTTTGGCGCTATCTTCTGAGAAGAGATGATGCTGAACCTGCACCTTGGACTACAGAGGGGATTGAACGGTCAAAGAAATTGGGCTTGAGTTTACAGGTTAGAACTTAAAGTTGCCATCATTTTTATATTTTACTAAAACAGATAAGATTGTCAATACTCAGCTGAAGCTCTCTTGGAAGGTTGTCTTCAGATTTATTTTAAAGATGTCAGATGACTTGGATTATATTTTCTTTATAATGCTCAGAAGTCCATACTTTATTTCATGGAGATGAGAAGGTGACAATGTATAGGCTACACATGGACTAGTTCTGTGTTCTGGCCCCATAAATTTTAAATAATGATTGAAATTCAGTAACCAAATGGCTGAATTTTGATAGTATAGTTGAGGACCCTTTTTCATATTTTGGGATGGTTTTTAGATGGGAACAAACAGTTTACATCAAGAAATTCCTGCTCCTTAACTGTATATAAAGTATATAAATCTTTATCCTTAACTGCCATCTCTGGCAATAAATGGCTTTGAAACTGTTGATTATGCTGCCTTAGTTCTTCAGAAAACTCGGAGACTCAGGTGTGACTTAACTATTCTTCAAACACAAATCACTCCCAATATAAAATGCGTTGAAGTAGATAAACCTAAAACAAAAAATCATTTGTTAACATTTGGATTCCTAGATCAATTGATAAAATATAGAAAAATGGAAACAGCCCTTGATTCCTTATCAAAGGAATTTCAGCCAATCTATTTATTAGAAATGAAGACTCAGGATTCATCTTGGGCCATAAGAGAATAATGGCATTTTGTGAATTAGTTAACTCAGACTATAGATATTTTTTTTTTTTTGCTCCCCTTCAAACACTGGAGTTGTCTTTGACATAATGGATCTTACGAACGTACTGCTATTCCAGATGGTCTTGTTTTGATGCAAGCATTGCTGAAAATACTTCTCAGATGTGATGTTCTTCTTTTGTAGTACCCAGAAGGCTATTGGGAAGCAATGGCAAATAAGGAAAAGAAAGATAAAGTAAAAAAGCAGCCTGTGAAACAGGAACCAATGGAACAGAGCAATGGAAATCAGAAAAGACCAATTAATGACGGTATGTCTGGCTACTTAAATCCATCAGTTATCAGATAGAGAAGGTATTTCAATCCATATTGAAACATAATATCTCTGGGACCCCTTAAACATCTAACGAGTCTGTCAGCGTTGAGAAATCTTTCTTGTATTCAGTTGGATCTCTTCTGAGTCATCTTCCACCTACATTTTATCTATTGTTCCATCACTTCTTCATTCCCAACTAGCTGGTGAACTGCAGGGCCGAATGAGTATCTTCAGAGAGAAGACATTTAGGAGTCTTTATGTCAGCCAGTGGACAGGGCATTGACAGAAGTATCATGCTAGGTATGCGCTCTCATCCATATATCTTAGCCATTAGACTTACCTTAAGTTTCAGTCACTTTCTCAAGAAATGATGTTCCATTTCATCCAAGGACCCATAGCACTAAGGTTTGTATAAATGAGAGCTTTTGAATTTTTGTGTGTGGGGATGATGTTTTTGTAAAGTTTGGGTGATTTTAAGTTATTGGAAATAGAATAAATAAGGGTTCTTTAAGCTGAATTTTTTTCAGCATAATTTTTGAGTGTTAAAACTAAATGAAGGTTTACATATCTGTAATAGTAATAATTTATTAAATTTATATGTTACCCAATTTCCAGAAACTATGGGCAGTTTACAAATTGTTAAAAAAAATTAAAACAAGTAACAATTAAAAAAAACATAACAAAGGAACAGAGAAAACAAATCCAGATAGGAACAAGGAAAATGAGGAAAAGGATGTCCGTCATTCTTGCCAAAGGCCTGCCACAGGGCCATGTGTTTAGATCGCTTCAAAATGTTTGTCGTTGTTTATTACCAAAAATGTGAGACCAAGAAATTATCCTTTAGTTTTCTGTCTTTTCTGACAGAATTTGACGGTGCAATTTTGGGGACTTTCTAAAAGCTGTTAGTTATAGGTTACTATTGGTCATTAGTATGTAGATCAACAAAGGAAGAGGGAACTTAAGATTTTTCTATGATATATTAGAAACTTGGAGAGGGAAGGGAAGATGTAAGGGGGGAAAAATGAAAGGTTGGGATTGATACTTGGCATTTGAAAGTTTTGGAGGACATTGACAAGACAGAAGGGAGGTCAATAAGAAATAGGTGAATAACAAAAAAGGAAGTCAAATTATGAAGCCTCTCTTTATAGAGATCGATCACATTTCAAAATAATTCTTGTACTTAATGTACAGTGTTGAGAATCTTAAGCTATTCATATTCTAAAATGCACCTATAATATCCTTCCAGTTTAGCATTACTATTTCCAGCAGTTATAGATATATCATTGTTACTCAGATATATTTGTTTTCAACCTTTCTTTTGGAATGTTGGTCTGTTTTGGTACAAGGTTTGCTGACAAGGAACTTAGATAGCCATGTTGATATGCTAAATGTTCAGCATTTTGAACTTCAAAGAGATGGAAGAGAATTAAACCCTTTATAAATAATGGTTTCAAATGAAAATAGAATAATTAGGAATCAAGTTTCAGCCAAAGTGAGTAGTTCTAGATTGCATCAAATCCTGGTAAATGAAAAAGATAAGATATTAGAGATCATGGATCTGCTATTCTAAGAAGGGCTAAATTTATTACTCCAATTTCAGAGGTATAATTTGGCTAGAAAAAGGTCAAATACATATTCTTTTGAGATGAGGACAATGCTGTCTTAACACTGGAAAAAAGTTTGCTTGTAGCTTGCTAATAGTTACCATATGCAGGGTTCTCGCCCACCCACCACTTCCACAGCCCAGTTCTAATTGGGCTGTGGCCCAGCACTGGGCTACAGACCGGGGGTTGGGGACCCCTGTTTTAAGGTACTCTGTGGAGCATAATCATTCTTCACTGGACTGTTTGCAATTCCCTGTATGATTTTTCTTCTACTTCTACAAACCTTAAAATTCCCACAGAGATGCTAGGGCTTCCTGGTACAGTAATTACACGAACTGACACATTTTAAGAATGAGTTTATTTTCAATATTTAAGATTTGAATCAAATATCATACTGTTTACTTGCAGTGAGCTACTTGAAATTTATCTCTCATAAAAAAAGGAAATCTCTATTTTTTCTGTGAAAGTATCTTTAAAAGAAAGGTAAATTTAATCTGGTAAATTTAATCAATAAGCCTGTTCCTGCAGGAAGAAGTCAGTGTAAATTTATAATTGTGGTTTGATAACATTTTTTCCAGACAATATAAAGCAACCTACAAATACAGCCAAAACAATGAAGATGAGTGATGGAGGGAAGGGAGAAGCTTTTCAGCTAACACAGCAACAACAATGGTTGATACAGGAAGACTCTCCAAACCAGAAACTTTGGGATGAAGTTCTTAAATTTCTTAAAGAAGGACCAGTAGGTTTTTTAGTTTAACCAATGTTCTGTACTGTTTCCTTTTAATGTTATATCACCAGATTTTCACTGGAAAATCCTGCAACGTTTTAGAAAGTTCCCCACCATCCAGAATGCATAAGGAGCTGCAGAGAGTGAAAACACAATTTGGCTAATATGTAGTATATTTATTAAAATAGAAAGCGTATTTCAAATACTATACTCCAGGCCCCAAAAGAAGTCCAGGTTATTATAGAAACAATATTATTTTATGAAGAGGTTGTGAGCACTTCAGCATTTGACTTAATTATTTTTCCATTATCCTGTCCTAGAATTTTTTGAAGAAACTGGAACAATCCTTTATGTGTGTTTGCTGCCAGGAGCTCGTTTATCAGCCGGTGACCACAGAGTGCCTGCACAATGTCTGTAAAGTAAGTGTCTCGTGGATCATTTTCACATAGTTCTACTGTAACTTTTAAAAGCAAATAAACTAAGATTTTAAAGGAGAAAGAAAATTCTAAGTGAGTAGTTACTTCAAGTTAATGAACATTCTTACTTAGGTCAAACAGTAAGATTATGCATATACAGTATTGATCAGATATATCTGTGACCTGGTTTATTTCAATAAGTTTCATAGTGTAGCTGTGCTAGCCTATTGCAGCAAACAAAACAATGAAGAATCTTGTGGCACAGTACAATCTAACATTGAATTGTAATGTAAGATTCTTTTGGACAAGACAGTCTCATCAGACCTTATGCTATAACGAACTGAGTAATTTTTAAGTGTTAAAAATAACAGTTTCAGGTTTTTTAGTAAGTCTTCAATGTTTTTATATAGTTCCCAAAACAGAAAATAATTCAGGCATGATTTTAGATTATAATTACATTTATGAAATCATCTGTTGACTGTTTTAATGAAAACAGAATATATACTTTCTACATACTTTTGAAGATGGTATTAACTTCTATATGTTAAATGCTTTCAATTCCTGAATTGAGATTAATTACTTCTCTGATATTAACATTTGTGTGTAATCTTGTGTCAAAATTTGTGCTGAATTATTATATACCTGAAAGTATAAAATTCTTTTGAGCCTCTACAAGATGCATATCCCATCATTTCTGGTAATTTCCAGAAGATTATTCACCTTACATTATTTTTACAATTCATGTTGATTCATAGAGTGGGTATGAACATTGGGTTCAGCTATTTGTTTATTTTAAAGCACCATCTAATACCAAATAATTTAGGGCAACTTACACTGTAAAAGCAAGAATAATAAATTGAGAAACAGATCATATCCAGAAGAGAACTGAAACGAAAGCAAAAGAGCAAAAACATAATCTATAGGTAACTGTGCTTGGAAAGCATTAAGCATAGAAACTTGTAGTCCAACATATTTGTAGGGTATCAGGTTGTAAACACTGGTTGAAATTATAGTTTTCTGTTGTGTCTTGGTCTTAATTATTTGAAATTATATCCGTTCACTAGTGGAGGAGATGTGCTGGTGGACTGAATTTCCCTCGCCTTTCCCCAGAGAGATAGGGGTCCATTCAGAACATCCAGAGGTTAGAGAGAAAACAAGAGTGAGGCAAACTTCTGTACAGGTAGTCCTCGACTTACAACCACAATTGATCCCAAAATTTCTGTTGAGACATTTGTTAAGTTTGTTTTGTCCCATTTTACAACCTTTCTAGCCACAGTTGTTAAGTGAATCGCTGCAGTTGTTAAGTTAGTTACATGGCTGTTAAGTGAATCTAGCTTCTCCATTGACTTTGCTTGTCAGAAGGTTACAAAAGCTGATCAATGACCCCAGGACACTGCAACCGTCATAAATATGAGTTAGTTGCCAAGTGCCTGGATTTTGATCATGTGACCTTGGGGATGTTGCAATGGTCATAACTCATTTTTTTCAGTGCTGTTATAGCTTTGAACAGTCACTGAATGAACTGTTGTAAGTTGAAGACTATCTGTGTTCTCACATTCTGCCCTATTGTCCTGTTTATATTACTAGACACCATGATTTATTCAGAACTGCTGGACAGGAAGGCTGTTTCTCCTTTTCATACACTTTGAAATAGAGAGTGGATGATAAAAGCACAAAACATTCTGTAAATTTGTTTATATATAAGAAAACAATTTCTTGTAAGGTCTAGCCTAACCCACCTGTAACTGATTCAGCATCTACTTTAATACTAATGTACTGGAAAGAGGACCTTTGCCCCACACATGTGGGATTTCAACTCCCCTTAATGAAGAAGGCTGGGAATTGCATGTCAACATGTGAAGTGGGCATAAATATAAATATATATCTCTTCAAATTTGGAATTATAACTTCTGATATTATAGCAGTATAATAATGTTGGGGTATCTTTTTGCAGGAAGTATGACAGTATGCTTTGCTTCATGGNTAAATACATTGTGACCCCGGGACTTTGGTCAAGCTGTCCTGGGTAGGCTGTTAGTCTTGCTGAGTAAAACCTGGGAAACCATGGTTATTCCAGGTTTCAGGCAAGGTAATTCTGGTGAGCTTTTATAGGAAGAGTGGGCACCTAGTCTTTCTTTTTCCGTCCTCTTTCACTGTGTGTCTGGTTTACTCACCCTTCCTGTTCCCTCCTTAAGTTACCTTCCCTTAGATCTGTCACCATTTCCTTGCCATTCTTAAATTCGAGTGCAGCAAATCCACCTGGCCCAGTCTTGCCCAATCTTCTTCACCGTCCTTTCCTTTACCACATATTGCCCACCATTGTCTCTTTGACCTTCCATTTTTCCCACTGCCCAGCTGACCAAACCCACATTCTGGGTCTAGACCAGTGGTGGCAAACCTATGGCACGCGTGCCAGAGGCGGCACTCAGAGCCCTCTCTGTGGGCACGTGCACCATGCCCCGGAGATGGCAACCGTCCCTTTTCAACCAGCCTCCCGTTAACTCGCCAAGGTCCCATGTGGCCGGATGCATCCCAGCACCCATGCACTCGCTGGCCTCTGTATGTGTGGGCCGATGGTGTCAGGCAGCAGCCGCCCCAGCCCCTGCCTCGCCTTGCCCTGCGACAATGGCACCCCTGCCCTGCCTCGCCTTGCCTCACCCCACTGACGAGCCTCCTTCCCACCGCCCCAACCCTGCCCCCACATGCATCCCTCCCCACAAGCAACATTGAGGTGATCACGCCCACCTTGGCCACACCTACCCAGTCTGCCATGACCACCCACAGTCACGCCCACCCAGTGGGCCACACCCACCTGGCACCCGGTGACAAATAAGTGGGTTTGGGGTTGCAGTTTGGGCACTCGGTCTCTAAAAGGTTCGCCATCACTGGTCTAGACACAGCCTGGCCAGAACTGTTTCAAGCACAGAATATTTTTCATCTGAATGTTGCTTAATCTCTAAGTAATGTATCTATCTTGTGACCTGGATTTTAACATTTGTATGTTTCCCATGACTTTAGAGCTGTTTACAGCGCTCTTTCAGAGCTGAAGTCTTCACCTGTCCTGCTTGCCGACATGACCTTGGAAAGGGCTACATCATGGTTCCCAACAAGATACTGCAGACACTACTTGACCAGTTCTTCCCTGGTTATAGCAAAGGTCGATGATATGTATTTGTAACCTTCTTCTCCAAATGACTGAATAAACTAAAAGAACAAAACATCTAGGAAAACAGTGGACCAGCCAGCTTGAGGGAATTCATATTTACTATCACATTGTGAAGTCGCTAATTCAACCCTCTTTCCCATTTAGCAATCTGTTGTGTAGTAAGAACTTCAAATTCCCAGCTTCCTTTCCACAAAGGTAGTTTTGAACAGATGAGCATTAGTTTGTATGCAGGAATAAACGCTTTCTTGGCTCTGGCCACGGTAGTAGCAGGTCTTCAGTTGTTTTTGTAACTACCTCAGTTGGAGAAAACAAATTGGGGGAAGTTTAACAACACATCCAGTGAAGTTTAGCTACACACTGCCTCCTGAACATTAGTTTTGCCTGGTCCATGCAATTTGATTTTGCAACAAGAAAACAGCACGTAAGAAGCCAGTTTTATTGAGAACATCAAATGCTGTGGTGTGCATAATTCTTTATTGTGTTTTCTCTCCTGCTGTCTTTCTTACTCCTTTTGCAACAACAAGCTTTTAGTCTATTTTTGTGAGCGTTATTGTGCTCTCGTATCTTCTGCAAGTTGACTACTAAGGACTGAGAATATGAATGCATTGTTGCTGTTGATGTAAAGTGATTTGTGTTTTTTGCACTTAAAGAGGGTGTTCAAGACACTCTAATTGTGTAAAAACTATTTCATATAAAACAAGCCACTTTTGTATTAGGTAAAATTGTTTGCTTTTAGTAGGTCTTGTATTAGTGGCAATACATCTTATACAGCATTGAAAGCAGTGCAAGCTTGGAGAGAGCTCAAATTGCTTCATATTGTGATCTGAAATTTTATATACAGTATATTCCCCACCCCTGAATATACTTATTAAATATTTTATGATTCATGAGGTGTTGATTGTTTGCATTTTACACCCATAACATGATAGCAAGTAATTTCCTAAAATAGTGTTTTTATATATTACATAAAATTCCATTTGAAATTTTGATAAATGGGATTAGTAAACCTGAAATTTACATTGGTCCGTTGGGCATTTGCCTTGCAGAGTTATATATTTTAAAATGCATTTTTATAAGACTTTCATTTCATATCAGCTTTTGATTATAGAAAGTAAATACTGCTATCAGAACAGATACGTTTGAGTACTTACTTACTATTTTAATATATGCATAGTTGTTTGAGCATTGCTTGAATTGGGAAGCTGGTGTTATCCCTGTATTATAAATTGAGACCGAAGCTTTTTGATTTCAAGTCTGTTTTAGGTATGGTACTGAACATTGGATTAGCATTATTTAACTGGTTTCAGTTTACATTCCAATCTTTTTCCTTTAGCAGAAAGAAATTAAAATTAAAATAGGATAGTTTAAAAAAAGAGTGTTGAATTCACATGTAACAATGCTGGGATGTTTAACTTAACAGGTTAAAGCCATAGTGACCTACTTTACATGTAACACTTAAGTAAAACAAATCATTATGGATGAACTGGGACAGTATCTCAACTCAGGTTGGTTTATATTATACTTAAATCAGCCAGGATAACAAAACTATAATTAAACATGACTTATTTGAATTACCCACAAATTGAATGAACCAGAATTTTTAAGCTGTGATAGTAAAAGGTATCTAGTTAGATAAAAATTGAAAGCGGAACTTTCCTGTTTTTCCCTCAGATACACAAATATTGATTTGGCTATGTCAGCCAATGGCCTTTTTAGTCATAAGAGTTTATGAATTTGCAGCTAGAGCAAGATAAGAAAGCAAAGTTTCATAAATGGTTTTAGCTTTTCTGCAATAGCAGTCTCCAGAGTGATGAGACAGCTGTGAGAATAAAAGCTTCTTTTGGGCTTTCAGTCATGGCTAGTGAGTATATCTTCAGCCTAGATAAAGTGTTAACTATCTTTTCATGCCTCAGAAACCTCTAGTCTGCCTATATTGGATGCCCCATTTCTAATGCCATTTTAACCTCAGTGATGAATAAAATTGGGAGAACCAATTATCCAACTTTTATCTAGAAAACCAGTTGCAAACTGATCAAGAATCTTTGCTTATTTTGTAAAGATAGTTAATATTAATCACAAGCTGATTGAAACCCAAGTCACATATTAGCATGGCTTATACATGAACTTATGCCCTGTACATATATTAAAACTGTAAGTTAGCATTGTGCATAGGCCAGACAACAATTAATTTTAATACTGAGGCAGGAGATGAAAATATTCAGTGGCCAACTTCTGGCATCATGCTAAATAATGATTTTTTTGAACAAGCTATAGTATTCTGGTTCACCTAAACCGTAAACCAAGAATCAACAATTTTGCACAATGGCCCAAGTATTACCCTGCCTCCTATCACAAAATTAAAAACTGCCAAATTTTCTGGAATTTGGATAACTTACTTTGCGTGGCTGGAAATTTGTGAACCTCTGGGTGAATTAAATGTTGGGATTTTCATGAACATTTCAGAATTTTAAAAATGCTGAAATGAAATAATTTTGGGGGGAGGGCAATTGCCCTTTTCTGCTCCCTGTCATAAGTCATGGCCTAGGAGGCACAGTGACCAACTAGCTTTGTGTACCACACTAAGCATAAAAGAAAACACAACTTCTTTTTGGCTTATGCAAGACCTCACCATGTCCATTTCAGAATGTACAGAGCTACTTTGGTCTAGTGATTAAGGCACTAGGCTAGAAACCTGAAAACTGAGTTTTAGTTCCACTTTAGGCATCAAAGCTGGTTGGGTGACTTTGGGCCAGTCTCACAGGGTTGTGGCGAAAATAAGAGGAGAAAGTGTTTGCCCCCCTGGAGTTATTTTTAAAAATAAAGGCGGGATAAAAAAATAAAATATGTTTGCTAAGCTAGCTATCCGGTGCTAAAGTTAGCTAAAAAAAATAACCAACTGGTACTGCTAATAAAAAGTTGATCATTTCTCTGATACATTGGAACAGTTGGCTCTCTTACAGAGTAATTCCCTTTGAGTCACAAGGAGTTTATCCCAAGTTCATTTGCTGTAAAATTACAACCTCAGGGTCTACTGGAGCATTAAATGAAGACTTTCCCCCCATAAATAATTTGTTGCTTGGATTATCATATGTAGGAAGCACTTTATCACTCATTTCCTATTCCTGCAAGCTTCTCTGAAACCAGAGTTGGTAAGCCTCACATTAAATGGGGTGTTTTGTGGTTCTTTTTAAGCAGTTCTTGAAGCAGTTTTCATAGCGGTCAGCTTGCCATCAATGTCTTCAAATTGGATTTCTCTTTTGACAGTTGTGGGCATCTCTTTGTTCAATGTGAGATAGCTTTTAAAAGTTCTGTGCTTTTGATGTGTGCTGTAAAGGATGTACTCTCATCCTTTAATTTCAAATAATAAATTCAGATTGTTGCACTTGCATTTAATTGCTGTAGCATATTGTAATTGATTGAACTCATAACTACTGTGACAGCACTGTTTTCCAACAGTCCCATATCAGACCACATTACACCAAGGTTTATAGGAGGTCATATTCTGAGAAGTGTGTCTGACCCGTGTGTGTGTGTGTATGTATTTGTGGCTTTTGTTGATTATGCCTTAAGTCAGTCTACAGAATGGTGACCAAGAAATTGGGAATTAGCTATAGGCTACAGTTCTTGCACTGAATGTGTTAAGTCAGTTTTACAGAAAATGGCTGACTGATTAAGTAATATTCAGCAAAGATTAACCTAAAAGGGAACAGGGTTTTCTCATTTGCCAAACCATGTGCCCTTTAAATATGTGTATTAGAACAAAATGTATTAGAAATCTTAATGCTGGCAATCCTGCAGGCAACCTTTTGTTCTCACAAGTGTAATCATTAGAGCCCTAGCAAAGCCTCTCAAAGTGCCTCACTTAGGGCAGAGGTGTGTGAGATCACAAATGCTGCTGAGCAAGCGTCTCATGCCTACTTGGCTCACGTTAATGTCCATATTTTGAAGAAAGTGACCTGTTTTTTTGCTAATCGGATTGAAATCAAACTTCAAAAACTGAAGTCAACTAGTTTTAATTGGAACATTAACAAGAGACAATTTAAAAAATATCAGTTCTAGGACATACAATTATAAACAACAAAGATCCATTGCCATAATCTAACAGAGTGTGGTACATATTATTATTATTTTTTTACAAAGCCACCTGCATTCGACCGTATCAAACTGTTAATGGTTGTCCATGACTTCATTCATACAAAATGAATAGTAACTCCATTCTACCTCAGCTCAAAACCAAGGGAAATACATTATAAAACTATGTCCTTAAAATAAAAAAGGGGGTTAATTCTGTATCACAGAGCATTTGGACGAGCAGGTGCATAGTCATGACACTGTTTAAACAGAGTATTGCTTTTGTTCATATAGTTCAATGCTTATTATTAAATCACAGAAAAGCAGCCCTGATAGAAAAGAGGGGCTTAATCAAGGCCACTTCAGCATGGATTGACACGGGAACTGAGGCACTGTATCAAATCAATTGCCGCTTAATAAAAGTATTTACAAATAGCTGCACAGAAATTTAATTAACAGCGTGGAGTTTTCAAAAATATACATTGTATATAAAATGTGCTAACTGGGCTGAAGATTTCGCCTGTCTTCACAGAGTGCTACAAATACAGCAAGAAAAATTAATGCCCAGTGATCTGAAAAGGGGGGGGGAAGGAAGTTGGTCCTAAGATGATGCTCTCTTCTGCTCAGCAAAAGGGGATTCATAGACCTCCATTGGTGGGCAGGTACAGACCAGATGCTGGTCCCCATAGATGTCATCAATTCTGGCAATTGTAGGCCAAAACTTACTTTCAGGTTTCACAAACGGCTAAGGAAGAGGAAAGAATATTTAGAAAAGCTATATAGTACAACATCTAAACTACAAAAAATTAGTAATTACAATGTGCTTATGTATATTAAAAAAGGTATACCATAGGGGATAAAATACATCAAGGAAAGCTTTTGAGGCAAGGTATTGATTGTAAGCCCTACACCAGGGGTAGGCAACGTTGGCTCTTTTATGACTTGTGGACTTCAACTCCCAGAATTCCTGAGCCAGCTATGCTATGCTATGCTGGCTCAGGAATTCTGGGAGTTGAAGTTCATGAGTCATAAAAAAGCCAAGGTTGCCTACCCCTGCCCTACACATGCTACATGATTCTTTTTCTTTTCTCCAAAGCAAATTTTTGGAAGTCTTTCAATGATCAGACCAGGAGTTTGAGACATGTGAAGTTGTTCTACTCATTAAAGACAAATTAGGTAACCTGCATTTTGTGCTTCACCCCAGCACCCAAACATTCTGCCAATGAAACTCAGCAGCACGTTTTTTTTTTGTTGGTCCTCCAAAATAAGGATGGAAATGAAAGTGAGAAACCACTGCAGGGAAACCTCCAATTTGCACCTTTATACCGCACCATAAATGATCTGAAACTGCACTAGTGAAATCACCATTTTGCTGCTGAATTTCAGTATTACCACTTTGGGCTCTTTCAGAAATACTGGAGGGTGGAAGTGATGGGGCTGATGAGCCAAGTACAGGTTTCCCACTTCCATCTTCCAATTCCCTATCCAAAAAACCCATCTTTTTCCTTGGAAGATCTTTTGCTTCACATCCAAGATGCTTCTTCAGGTCTGAAGTTCAATTGAGAATTGAAGAAGCTTCTTGGATGAGAAGCGAAACGTTTTCAAGGAAAAAACGAAGTCCGGTTGCCTTTTGAAAAGCACTTTTGGGACAACCACGACCTGGATGACTGAGAATCTGCATAGATGTTCCTTGTTTTGCTTTGGGCACCATTTTCTTGTTGATACAAAGGTTTTATCATATTGTAGGAACTAAATCAAAGCCAGATCAAAACAAAGCAGAGTTTAATTCTTTATTTCACTTCTTGTGGT